CCCCCCCCGAAAAAAGAAAATTTTGCATAGTAATTGTTTTCAATTTCTCCTGGGTATTGCATTCGTCCAAAGAAAAATCGAAGACAATGGTTATGCAAAATTTCTTTTTTGCGGGAGGGGGGGGGGGCGGAGAGAGGGGCGGTAAACTGGATGCATTATTTGACATGGTCCATGTGGAAATGGCGAGTTGAGTAAAATCACTTAAGCATGTTGGTTGAACATTTCATACTGCTTGGATTATTCTTACAAACATTTGGATTCGCTTGGCCTCCTTTTACGTCATCAAATGTATTTTCATCCAAAGAACAGAATAGCTTTACGCATAGTATTGAAACAGCCTTTTTCGACGGAAAGGCTTTAAATTGCACAAAAAGTTACTGGGACAAAAAGGACTTTATTATGTTTTAAACGTTTTAAATAGACAATTAGAATTATTTACTTCATGGATTACCGGGAAATTTTCAGACCTACGCTCTTAATCATTAGTCTGACTGGTAAATATTGCATGTATTTTATGGTAAGTTGACCCGGCCGAATGACAAATGTCCTCACATTCTCTCCTCCGTATCTGTAGTAACCGAGAAATGAGGCTATACTGTTTACGTAGGCGGTAACATAACATAAATATGGAAAAACAACAAACATCAAACAACCAATATTGCTGATCTGTTCTGTCACTGACTGTGGAACTGCAGACACAACGCAGAATATAACGACTCAGTCTATACGACTCTTTCTGTTTTGGTGCCAACGTCCGGCTAGTCGCTTGCCACAAGTCTTTTTTGAAGCTTTTCCTCAAAATGAGCCTTTTCGCCTCACTTTTCCCACTCACAGTGACTCACAGCTACCTAGTCCATTCTGCTAGTTACTCATGTCTCAGTGTAGCGCAGTATTGGCTGTCATTTTACGGCAACTGGAGTGCTGCAACACATCCAAATACTTTTTCAAGTACTCCAACAAATGGCTTCTTTTCCCCTTTGGTCGGTGCCTCGCACGAAGATGCTTACACAATGTGGGATGGGGGAATGCTGGCCTCTGCAGGAATAAAAGCTGTTGCAGAGACAGGTTAGTTGTTCATACTTCAACAAAGACAATGCCGCCAATGCCGCGACTAGTCCACCCGGTTTCATTACCATGATCACTAAATCTGCGCCGCCAACCAGCTTTATGCAATTACCTGGGCCATCCATACCAACAATGGGTAAAATGATCTTTACGAGAACAAATAAACCACTCATAACCCAGTGCAGTGGCGAGGCGACTTACACAGTCAAGTTTGAAGCGAAATGGTCAGTGGAAATCCACCCCAACGGGTTCCCAAGTGGGGCCCACTTCTTGCCTCTTGTACTGTAACTCTTGTAATGTGGATTGACATAACCAGAGCCTCACCAGGTGTCAAGATTGTTGCCGAAACAGGTACGTGAGTTTTTTAGTCACCCTCGCGCGTATAAGGCTCTCTCTTCCGTAGAGGCCCCTTTTTGTCGTAGGGAGAAGGAAAAATAGAGCGCGCAGGGGACGATTGGAATGGGAAAGGGAGAGGCCCCGCTCCAACCTCGCTCCCGCCTTTTTTGTTTTCCCATCGTCCTCCGCGCGCTTTCTTTTTTCTTTTTCTCGTTATTGCTATTTTTATTGGGATATCCAGCGGGAGTCTCTGCGGAAGAGAGAGGACGTATCTTATCCGAAGAGTTTTTCTCAATGATTGTACTGATGTACATTTGTAAGCTGTATCCAAAAAATGCTCTTTTCTGTGAACCTAAAACAATCTTAAGCCCCTGGGAATTATAGTTTGTTTACGGCTGTTATCCCTCAGCTTTATTTCTGCGTAGCGTGTTCAGGATTTTTTCATAAATTAGGTTAACTAACAATTTTTCACCGAAATGAAGGTGACTGGTCAGCGGCGAGGTAAATATCCACCACTTTGACCGACACTGAGCATGAGGCGAATAATTTGTTCCGTCAGGAGACTATAACCTTATTTTTATGTACACCACACAAGCTGGCGGACCAAAAGTGTACCTAAGGTTTCTCAAATTCTCGAAAATAATAACATCCACGCGCCACACAACTTCGTCATCGTCAAGAGGGCCTTTCCCCTACAAAAAGGGAGGGGACGAGGTTGCGCGTCGCACAATGCATTTAAAGGTTACAAAGTCATGTGTTAACTCTAGTGATCAAATGAAGTCAAACGAAGTGATGAACGAAACGAACGACTACAAATAGTCGACGATGTTCAATTACAAAATCCAATGGTTTTTAATCCGACATTCTGTGAGCAGCGGAAAAAGTGCATTAATTTTCAAGCCCTTGACGGCTTAATTTTTTTTAATAACTTCGGCTGCCCGTAGATAGCTAATTGGCCAACCTCGTCCCCAGGGGCCAGGGCTTTTCCCGTAGGAAATGAGAGGGGCCCCTCCGATTTTCCAAGGGAAAAAACCTGGGAACGAGGCTTCCAATAAGCGCGCGCAAAAAGTACTATTCACCTGTGGGTATACAGCTATTTCGAGAAAGGTGTGTCGGGAATAAGTGCTCGCGACTGACCCCGAAAGGCATTGTAAGTGGTTTTGAGTTCACTGTCTTGAAAGAAATTTGAAAGAATGGTTCGAGAGGCTATGGACGTATGTTTGCGAGTGCTAATGGAAAGCAACAAAAGTAGGTTCGACGGCTACAGTGTCGAAAACAGCACCTTTCGGGATTGCCGCGTGCACATTTTTTCTGACAACCTTTCTTGAACAAGAGGTACCGCATATTCTAAAGCTAATCTGATCAACTGATCCACCAGGGACACTCTCAATATTTCAATCCATGAGTCACAAGCAAAACTTCCCATAATTGCATGAGACAGTCATACCGAGGAAGACTACAAAGGTGTTCAGATAGTAATCTATTCCCAGTGGACGGTCGCTAAGCAAAGGCCTGGGACTCAAGAGATAAGTTACGGGACATGCAAGTCCGCAGGCGAGAAGGCGATAGGACTAGGCCAAGATAAGAGAAAAAGTAGGGGGGGAGGGAGGGTTAAACAAACAAACCTCAGAGCAAAACGGGTGTAGACCCGCCACCCCCACAAGGGGCTTCGACGGGCGCATGAATCCAATCCTTCCGCCCTTGCAGCCAAACTGGACAAATTCGCTTACACACGTGTTTCTTTATACAAAGAAAGCCAGTCCCGAGTGAGAAACGCACACACACTCCTGAAATAGATCTCTCGCAATTAATTCGTCAGAATTAAGGCCAGTGTTTCGCGGGCCAGCACTGGGAATAGTGTTCGCCCTTTGGTACGTAATTGATCTACGGCAAGACAATCTTGCGCAGAGAATGTAATGACAGTACCTTTAAGGTACTGTCATTACATTCTCTGTTAATTAATCTCATTTCAATTTATTGTATTACTACAAAGGATTTTTACAGTCACTACATGCAAAAATTAAAGCTAGTGAAGGCGCGCAGTGAATTGAAGAGACGGAGGAATTAAATGAATTTCAGTTATTTTTGTGATTTCCATCATTAGGCTAGCGATTGTTTTCTCGAAAAGAGTGCGTGCCTAATAATAGAAAAAAAAGAGTATTCAGAATACTCTAATTATTATTCTCTTCTGGCTACAAGAGTGTGTAAGTCACATAGGACAAAGGAGAGACATCTAATTAAGTGCCGGCTTTAACAATTCTATCAAACGTTTGTTCTCCTTGTGGTTCTGTGGTGTCATAAGACATTTCTGACGTGTTTTGTTTGTTTGTTTGTTTGTTTGTTTGTTTTTTTATCCCTATTAGGAGTGACCAGTATATTGTATAGCGAAATCATTCAACTGAAAAAGCCAAACTTCGTATACATGGTCTATGGAACAGTCGGCGCCGTTAACGCTCCGGGGGGAGAAACAAGCATGAAAATCGTTGTCAAAGACAAATACTCCATGGTGTCCCTAATCACTACGATCGCGCCGTCCCCTGACTGGTTCGTTGGAGTTGACAGCTATGATCTCTTTGGAAGCGATGGTAGATGGAAAGACACCGTGATCATGGACCTGCTACCATGGGATGCTGGGACGGACAGTGGAACCAGCTTCCAATCATCTGACATTCCGACCATGCCGAGTGACGTCATCAAACGTATCATCTCGAGCAGTAAAACACAGATGGGAGCAGACGCCGACAGGGACTTTGTAAGGGTGACTCTTGCGAGGTCTTCCACGATTTCTACAATGCCCGCCACAGCTGCTACCGTTCTCACAGCTGCCACAGCTTCCCCAAGTTCGGCTTCCGTTTATTCGATAACGACGACTAACCAAACGTTCCAAACCACAACGCCGACAAATGGAGTAATCTCTGTACAGCATGACTGCCGTAACGCCAGTCTCTTCGTTTTCATTGTCGCTTTAATACGTGCATTTTTCAAGAAGTTTGTATATTAAGTTAAGTGGTTTGGGATCGTTTTCTCCTTTTACACTCTTCGAAACCTTTTGATCTGTGTACAGACGTCCCCCATCCCTCAGATTCTTTCTGAGGGAGGGGGGATATCTGTACACAGGCTAAAACCGTTAAACTACCTACAGATTCAGTAAGTCGTGATAAACAGCGCCAAATGGACGACTATTGCTGACCCACCGTCATAGAAGCTTAAGAGTATGAATGGTGAAACTGACACGATTTGATACGCATTTAGTCACCTTTCATAGTTACTGTAGCACCCTTGCAAGCAAACGTTGTTAAAACTATGCACATTGTTTTTCATAATTAAACGCCTAGCTAAGCGTAAAATAAAAATAAAACAAAAGCAAAATGGAGGCGTGGAATTCATATTTTCTGTTTGTAGTACAGTAGTTATCCCACTGGTGATGGCCGCCGATAATGATGGTCAGCGATGATGATGGCCGCGTCTTTTGCAGCTCCGTAGTTTACGTAGTTTATGAATAACTGAGCTACAACAGACAAACGTCAAGCTTATTAAAGAGCCATATTAGTTCTACTATACTGTGCCTTTCTCCATTCGTAATTTCTTTACTTACCTTCTGTACATGTAGTTTTTGTCGAAGCGCCTTGTATTATGGACTGTGAAATAATTATCTGGAGTGGGGGGGGGGGGGGGGGG